ACCGACCAGGGTCCACCATGAATGATAGGGCTACCGATAAGAGGCCTCCATAACTGATAAGGCTACCGACAAGAGTCTACCATGAATGATAGGGCTACAGACAAGGGTCCACCATGAATTATATGGCTACCGACAAGAGGCCACCATGAATGATAAGGCTGCAGACAAGAGTCCACCATGAATGATAGGGCTACCGACACTGCTATTAACCATCCTCTTCATAACATTCACAGATAAATCGGTGACAGCCACATTCACCAAAATCTTTAGGGTTTCCCGGATCTAGCAGTCCTTGTTCACAAAAAAAAAATAAAATAATAAAAAAATAAATTTAAAAAATGTCGCTTGACATTTTACAAGTACTCAATCTCAGGTGGGTATGAATGAACCCTTGAGAAATTCGAACGGATGCAAACACAAGATCTAACAAGCAAGTGTGCAGGATGTCCTGCTTGATTAGTGATAATTACTGGGAGCGGTTAGGATGGCCGCATCGCTTCCCCAAACGTTGCACATATGCCAGCACATGGATGCAGCAACGTACCTTATCAGAAGATGTTTTATTTCCATACCAATTAGTACATGCATGTGTGTTATTCTCATGTCAATTAGTAATATGTGTGTATGCTATTCTCATACCAATTATCATCTGTATGTATGTTATTCTCATTCCAAATAGTATATAATATGGATTTTTTTAAATGAGTTATTTCCAAGCTAAATTTTAAATATATGCTTTGTTGCTCCCGCGCTGATTAGGTAGCTCCATGCTAATTCGTCTATATTAATGTGTGTTATGCTCATGCCAATGTATATATATTTTTGCGTTTATCTCATGCAAATTAGTAAATATTCTCCCCCCCCAAGCTAATTAGTTAATATAAATGTGTTATTTCCATGCTAATTAGTAGATGTATGTGTGTTAATATCATGCCATGTTCTACGCACCATGTGCTATGTAGGCTACTATATGCTATTTGACAAAGATTAATTTTGCAAACAGCAAATACTGACTCAAAATGAATGGAGCCATCGAACACAATAGGGTTTTTTGTTTCGAGTTTAGAAAAAAATTAAAAAATTGACAATTCTTGTGACTTCTCCATTATTAATACACCCCCCCCCCCCCCCCCCCCAAAATTTTATTTGAAATGTATTATTGAAACAATTTTTTTTCCATGAAAGGGATATAAGCTTTAAAAAAAAATTAAAAAATTGACAATTCTTGTGACTTCCCCATTATTAAAACCCCCCCCCCCCCCCCGCCCCCAAAATTTTATTTGAAATGTATTATTGAAACAATTTTTTGTCCATGAAAGGGATATAAGCTTTACACACATATGACAGGAGTTGGGTGCCTCTAACAGCCCTCGGGGTAGCTGCCTTTGTTTTATCTCAGGTCCCTAGTCTGTGTTAAGTCTTTGCACTACGTGGAAGATGGTGTTTACTGCCCTTTGTTGGCCCCTTTACTTTATTTCCCAAACCTCCGCCATGCCTGGAGGGCGTTCCTCTATCGGACACCCGATCATTCGCTCGGACATCTGACATCGCGCCATTGTGGGGCGGGTTGGGGGGGGGGGGTGCGTCAGTGAGATCACTCGATTTTACATGGAGAGTTATAGAAAATAAAATGAATAGACATGGATTTTTTTTTTCTTCAAGTTCTAAGTATCTGTTGGGCAGCAGCCAAGATACAGAATCAATTATGTTGACTTCTAAACTAGGTTTGTTATTTAAAATATAGAATATAATGGATGCTTCTAATGAGTACTTCCAGTATGTCTTCATAAAAGCAACACATTTTCTTTTGTTAATAAGTCTCGCGTTCTACGGAAATGTCGGTTGTGGATTTTTTTTAAATGTCTCAAGGGCCTTGTTGTTGGATCAATCTAAAGTTTCAAACACGAGTTTATTTTGTTTGAAGTTACCAGCTGAAACAATAGTATTCTTGTTTTTTTTAAATTTAAAATATTTAATTATTAAAATATGTAATTATATTTTAATTTATGGAAGCAGGTCAAAGGGTCAAGACAAAAACATTAAACGAAATACAAACACCAAAACTTGACATGCTTTCCATTAACGCTGCGTACATCCAGTTAGTATGTATGTAGCCTACATTGATGTTGTCAACATCCACGCAGACAATTATCAATTTGTAGAAATATTGGTATTTTTAATAGTGCATTCAATGGGGTGTAAGATTAATAGCTTAAGTATCAGAACTTTGAGGGTATTTTTTTAAATAAGAGATTTTCACTAACGGCTTGGCCATTATTATATAATATTCAATTCAAGTCATAACTACTGCTACCAGACCAGTGCCAGTACTGAGTACTACCACCCACTCATCACTCTTCTACGCTAAAATTTTTAAGTTTACCAAAATAATAAATAATTCAAATAGATAAGAACTATAAATAGCCGAATTGAAAATTTGCCTGCGCAGCCTAAATATTACTAATTTAAAAAATATTTTGTTTAACAGTAGCTGTACTGTTGCACTGTTGCTGTGTATGCATGCTAATAATACTAATAAATAAGTATCTAGCAATAATCAATTAGGCTAATAATACTACTAATAGTATTAGTAATACCTTGCCTTTTAATATGTGTAACGTTAAAATTTTTGGTAAATTAAAAAAAAATATTCTTCAAGAAAATCCCTCTGATAAAGCACTTGACTTGTGTTGTCTTGTCTTATGTTTCTGTTTTCCTCCATTTGACCAGGAGAATGCATATGGAAGCACTAACATTCCGCACCTGCTGAGCCTGATCAAATATTCCATTGTTTGTCAAGAATGTATCACTACCATTCTGGAAAAGTGCTGCGTGGTATGTAATATAAGTATTGCATCATCAGCATTTGTGTTGGCCACCAATTCCAGATGGTATGCTTCCTGAACTTGATGATAGTTCACAGCAGCCTCCCACTACCACCCCTTACTGAAGAGATGCAATTACAAACCACACCCAGGTTTATAGTGTTTTGTATAGACCACTGCTAGACAAATTGAGCATTAATTTGGTCGTCGCCTCAAGTACGAGTCGGCACACAAGGACTGAATGATGTTTCATTTTGTATGAATGAAAGTAAAATAGCAATAAAAAATTAGGTAATTGTCACAATGTTTTTTTTGCTAGGGCTGAGCCGGGCACTGACCCAGATACCCAGAAATTAGCACACCCATCACATACCCAGACCTGAAGAGAAAAAAACAGAACTGGGTCCAGGTGTTAAAAAATTTATCATTTTCTATAATGTGTCTACCCAATGGGTAGAAGATATAAAAACAGTACAACTTTTTTTTTTAACATAAATTTGTGTACATTTTACCTGAATTGATTAGATCTAAATGATAATAGAAAACATCATTATGGAAGCTAAATGAAACCACACAGTTCAGAAAATGATAATGTTCTTGCTTAAAATTTTAAAAAATTATTTATCTTAGCAAGATGCTTATCTTTGGTTAAGACTATGGCACTTTCTAATAACCATTAATGTTCCATTTCACATGCTGACTGGCTGATGATAATGAGTATCCAACGTTTGTGTGTGTTGTGGATCATTTCTAAGTTCTGTCAAAATTCAATTATAGTAATTTAATTTAACACTTGTTTATAAGTGAAGCTATTGGCTCAACTGAAGGAAGGCTAGGATGGTATTGCCATGATGAAGATATAAATATTACTTTAAATAGTTTGAATACAATAGTATCAGAAAAGGGAAAACTGCCACCAGGAGCACAAAGGCAAATTTAAAAGCTCTGTGTTATGGCAGTGGCTCTCATCCTGTGGGTCACAACCCCCTCAGGTCGCCTGACAAAATGTCAGGGGTCGCCTGACAAAATGTCAGGGGTCGCCTAAGAAACAAATTAAATTTTGAGGGATGGGGTGTGAAAAGTGAATTTTTTTTATTTGAATGTTCATTTTAAAATTTAAATATTATTCACAGTGATTGAACTAGTTTCTTATTGTTACTACACTCTGACTACACTACAACTACATGAAATTAAAAAAAAACTTTGATTCATTCGGTAGATGTACTCTGACAATTTCCTTTTATTTAAAAAAAATTATGTATGATTTTTATTTATTTATATTTTTATTTGTTTCATTTTTTGGCCAAAGCTTAAAAATTGGCATTTTCCAAGCAAAACTATAACCAAGTGTGTGAATTTATCAACAGTTTTCTAGGGATAGACTTACATAGTCGCCTCTACAGAACCCTCCTCCCTTATTAGCCCATGCACTTTTAACTTCTCCCTATTGGGGTTAACGCATTAAAGAAAATGAACTCTTTTTTTTTTTTTGTGTGTGTAAAACCCAGACTCTGTCCCCCTAGGTATTGTCTCAAAATATTCAGACCCATACCTGGTGTAAAAAAAAACTATGCCATGCTCAGCCCTAGTTTCTTCAAAGTGAGAAATGAACTGCATTCAAAATTTTTTTTTCACCTGAGGCTTTGTGTATGAGCTTAACTTTGAGAAAGAGAATTTTTTTAACCTGAGGCTTTGTATGAGCTTAACTTTGAGAAACAATAGAATTTTTTTAACCTGAGGCTTTGTATGAGCTTAACTTTGAGAAACAATAGAACTTTTTTAACCTGAGGCTTTGTATGAGCTTAACTTTGAGAAACAATAGAATTTTTTTAACCTGAGGCTTTGTATGAGCTTAACTTTGAGAAACAATAGAATTTGTTAAAAACAAGGTAAAAAATGACTTTTCTTGTTATGTTCTGTCAACATGCTCAAGTATTAAAAAAAAATGAAAATATTGTGTTTGTTCCTGGGTTTGAGAAACACAAGTTGAATGCAGACCTCATCGAATCTTCCTTTACACTGACTGTAGAGGATATGGAAAATACACCTTTCATATGTTTGGTTCTTTCTTATGACCCTTTCTTGCAAAACTACGTGGAGATTTTTTGTAATATGAAAAAGTTAGAGAAAACTAGAGATTGAATGACTATGGGTTGATTATTATTTTATTTTCCAGACTAAAGAGCACCAGATGTATTTGTTGGAGAGCAACACATTGGATATTTTCTCCCTTCTCCTCCTCTCTGAGTGCTACAAAGTGCAGATGCTGACACTGAGATGCTTTGCCAACATGTGTTACAAAAATACAGCTGTCTGTACAGCCATCGTAGCAGGTAAGCAAAGAGTCAAGTTAATGTTTTACAAAATTATAGCCGTCTATCAGTCCTGTTGTAGCTGTCAGTACAATAGAACAATAGATTCAAAAGTAGTTTGCATGTTGATTGCTGTATTGAAATTGAAAATTTAAATTACTAACGATACTTACAATACTATTGATATTCACAATACTATTGATGTCTTTCCAATATATGCCCATGTTTAGTTTGTTATTAAAAAAACAAAAACCCTACATAATAAAATTCCTTTATATTTTTAAATCATAAAAAGTTTGTCAAGCAACTCTACAAATGAATTCATATTGGACAGATAGGGTTGCCAGTCTGTCAGATGGTCGACTAACTGAAGCTTAACGCCCAAAACAAATTCATTTCATTTAAAATTCAAGCAAAATTGTGATAAAAAATGAAACAATTAGGTCACTGCCAAAAGAAAAATGTTTTCTCCGACTGTTGTGCCTGGAAAGGTTGCCAACCGCTCCTGTATGAGGCTTTGTCCTCATTGTAAAGTCATATTTAAATTTATGACTGCACTTGATTAGTCCATTATTTTATTTCAGTTCCTGATTTAGTCCCAGTCTGTGGAGTTGATGGGTCGAGACAAACCTTCGGAGATGCAGCTGGCGGCAGCCAAAGTCCTTACCTACCTCCATCGTGGTGGGGCAATAGAAGCCACAGATTTTGTTATAAGCAGAAAGGTATTGACATGGGTAAAAAAGTATTGACAGAGGTGCATTTTTTATAGAAGGCATTTTAAAAGACTTGCTGTTAACTTAAGTGTGCTTAAATTTTTTGTCAGTTTTGCCGCTGCATCCAATTTTATTCACATAATTTTCAATACCATGTGCATAATGTTGGCACATTTGAGGTACTTGTCCCAGTGTTACATGTTATTCGACAATGTGTACAGTTGAAATACTGTGTGCTCAACTGAAGCAATCCCAAGTTTGTGGACTGGAGTGCAGCAATCCCCCACCAAAAGTATAGACAAGCAAAAACAACACCAGCAACCTGGGTAGACAGGACTCGTTAACCTTGGATGGCAACACATCTAAGAGAAGGAAAAGTCTGAAATCAGACCCTGAGATGGAGTCCATTTGGCTGTATCACATTGACACAATGAAAATTCCGACAACTCCTGCGATGTGGAACGCATAAAGAGCACAGTGAAACACGAACAATCAATGCCCCATTTTTTCCCTTGAATTTACCGTAGCAACATTAGCTATGAATTGAAATCAATAATAGTTTTTTAATTAAATAGAACAAAAAGCTAGTTAATGTTAATACCTTGAGGTTTAAACTTAAGTCTGTGGGTCCCAAGCAAAAGTTGCATGGTTCTTTGCAGCTGTCATTTGTTCTGTTGTTGCTCATGAACATGATTTAGATGGTTGATTCTTATAGTTATTGAACGCTCTTCCCGCCATTGTCTCTATGACTTATGTTTTAGTCTTGCGGCAGTCTTGAGTGGAACTTTGGAGTAGTAGGATGTATATTATTTATGTCTGATAGCGAGCTGCGCTATATTCACGTGTTATTTGTATAATATTTACTCAGACATTAAAGTTATAATTATTATGAAAGGAGTTGAGTTCGTTCAGTGATAGTAGGAATAGTACGACGCATTCAACGTGTGAAAAGAACTTGACGAATGTAATCAATCCAAGAAGACTGTAGGAGTTGACAATGGTCACTCCTGGTCTATATTTTGTCAGATTCCTGTTGACAGCATTTAACACCATTTAGTCCAACATATTTCATTGACAAATCTCCAAAACCCTATACCTTTGTGCAATCCATTTTTTCATTTTTTGTAGACATTGGGAACCCTGGTTCGGATGTGTAAAAGAGATCGGCCACTAGACGAAAATGTCAAAGGAGCAGAGACTCTGGCATACCTTGTGGAAGTTGACCCTGACCTTCAAATGATCGCCAGCATTATAGACCATCTGATCAGCACACTCTCCAACTATCTGCACTACAAAGATGTCAAGAAAATTTCTTCTGTGGACAAAAAAGTCAGTGACTCAATATTTTGATTTTATTTTCATAACTTTAATATGCTATTGTATTCAAATTAATTGATTCACTATGTTTAGTCAGATATGCACAATTCAACTAACATTAGCGGCCATTAGTTAAAAATATTTCAAACATTTAATTTGGATTTTTTTTTGTATCCGGATACTGCATACTCCACTGGCATTTAACTTTTCCCAGTGTGATCTTGGCTTAAATATTGACTTTAAATACAATGCATAATCGGACAACTCTTTCAAGAGTTGCCATGAACCAAAAGGTTATTTGGCATTCCTACTCACAATGTCATAATGCAAACGTGGATAGTTTTTCTTTTTCACTGTTAAACTCTCAGTGGACCAAGCAGCAGAACAGAATTGATTTGGTGACAGGCAATAACACTAACACAATATAACTTTTAGAAATGAACCAAAGGGTTGCTTATGAACGAAATGGTCACCTTTAACTTTAACCAAATGATGGCTCATAAACCAAAATCGTTGCTTATCAACCAAATGATTGCCTTTAAACCAAATGGTTTGCTTATGAACCAACTAGCAGAAGATGAACCAACAATGAGTCTAAGGCTTTTGTTCAAACTTGGGAGGAAGTAAAATCAGTAAAAGTATTAAGTTTGATGAATGACTCATGTGAACTTTCAATAAAAAAAAAAGTGTTGGACGAATATGGCGTAGGTTGGAAATACAGTAAAGCCCCTTTGATAATTGCAGCATTTGACCACCATTCTTTTGGATTCAGACCTTAATATTTAAATGGCAAAGTTTGTAAAAAAAAAAATATATATATATATTTCACAATTTTCTTGGTGGGGAGGAATTATTGTTTATTTATGTGCTGGTTTGTTTTTATTGTTATATTCAATGTGAATAATCTGTTTATGTCTTTCTTTTATTATTTAAAAAAATCTTTTTCGAGTAATATTTATATTTGTCTCTTAATAATAATTTTTAAAAAAACAATGTTAGACATATAGTAAAACAAAAATTAAACATTAATAATAAATTTATGGTAAATAATGTTATGGGTTTCCAATGAGCTGCAAAAATTAATTTTCCTGTCCAAAGTATCTGTAGAAAATTCACATTACTTGATTTACTTGCCAACAAATTTACAGAATTTATGTAAATTATTAAAAACTTCTTGCATTAAATTATCGATGTCAATGATAGATTATCATTATTCAGTTGTTTTTTTACTAAGGTCAGGGTATAAAGAATTAACTATAATTTTGTAGCTGTGTTATACTGTCTAACTATTTTATGCTTGGATACTTTGTTATACCTAGTAACTGAATTGTTTCTTTGTAGTCTTTCACAAAACCTTCAACAAGTCAATTAAAAAAAAAAGTTATACTCAAAATAATTTGACTTTGCATTTCTGGATCTGTACCGTAACAATTTTGTGAATGTTATTATTTTAATATACAGCTTATGCCATGGTGTAGATGATTTCTAGTAAGCTAACATTACTCTGAAACAGCAGTCTTTTGGACCAGTTGTGGCTTAAGTGGACTATAGGCAACATCATTAATATAATTAAAGTATCCTAGTGTTGCTACCTAAAAAATTAAATGTCATTTGCTATAAGTGCACTTAAGTACCGGGTATTTAAAAAAAAAGTTTTACATTTTGTACTCTTAAAAAATACTATCCACATAACTTATTTAGAAGACCTTACTCTTTGTTACAAGTAGCCATACTCTCAGTAATTGTTGAGGTTCTCATTGTGTTGGAAGGTACCTTATCAGACTAAGGCTTCTGTGTTGTACTCTTGACTGTTGTATACTATGTGACAAATGGTTAACATCCTGTACCTTGTAAGCTGACCCCATTGAAAACTTTGCTCATATGGTGCACCATGTCAAATTTCATTGCTGAATTTTTACTTTGCGAGTTAAATAGATTACCAATAAAGTTAAATTGTCTATCAGTAAATTTAAATAGTTTACCAATTAAGTCAAATAGTTTACCAATTAAGTCAAATAGTTTATTGATAAAGTTAAATAGTTTACAATAAAGTTAAATAGTTTACCAATAAAGTTAAATAGTTTACCAATAAAGTTAAATAGTTTACCAATAAAGTTAAATAGTTTACCAATAAAGTTAAATAGTTTACCAACAAAGTTAAATAGTTTACCAACAAAGTTAAATAGTTTACCAATAAAGTTAAATAGTTTACCAATAAAGTTAAATAGGTTACCAACAAAGTTAAATAGTTTACCAACAAAGTTAAATAGTTTACCAATAAAGTTAAATAGTTTACCAATAAAGTTAAATAGATTACTAACAAAGTTAAATAGTTTACCAATAAAGTTAAATCGTTTACCAATAAAGTTAAATAGTTTACCAATAAAGTTAAATAGTTTACCAACAAAGTTAAATAGTTTACCAATAAAGTTAAATAGTTTACCAACAAAGTTAAATAGTTTAAGGTCAATCCATAAAAAAAAAAAAAAAGAACACACAGAGGGTGGGGGGTAGTTGAGTTTGGAGATTTAGCGGATGGGTGCTTAGGGGAAGTGGGGGCGTCTTCAGTTGAACGTATGTACTTTCATGAACAAATTATACAATAATTATCCTGAAATTCTGAATTCATCAACAGCACATATTTTATCTCTAATAAATCAATCGATGACCTCAAGATCTATGAAACTCATGATTTCTATTGAATTACATTCAAAGGCTAGACAAATATCAGATCAATATTTTTTGTAATTATCATTCTGGTGTTACTTTGTTTATTTTACAAGTCAACTCACTGGATAATACACTAGTAACAGTAATATTTTGTCCACCATTCCCCTTTTGAATTTTTCAGTGCATGTGGCGCTAATGCTTTTTTTTCAGTGAAGCCTGTGGTACCTAAATATTTCGGTTCTCTGCGCCCTTGCCGAATTAAGTTTTCCTCAGATGCTCCTAGTCAAATTCTAACAAATGCATTTCGAAATAACCAAGACATTTTTTTTAATTTTAAGGGTTGTTAAAAATAAATAAAACATGTACCTGGGCAACTGAACCCAATATAGAAGCTATGTGAAGAAGCTTCAACAGACAGTAACTAGTCCACCAGGTCCACTAGATGTTGTGTCCTGTCTCATTAGATTCAAACTGGAAATAGATCTATGAAAACTGTAATATTAATTATACAATAATTATCCTGAAATTCTGAATTCATCAACAGCACATATTTTATCTCTAATAAATCAATCGATGACCTCAAGATCTATGAAACTCATGATTTCTATTGAATTACATTCAAAGGCTAGATAAATATCAGATCAATATTTTTTGTAATTATCATTATGGTGTTACTTTGTTTATTTTACAAGTCAACTCACTGGATAATACACCAGTAACAGTAATATTTTGTTCACCATTCCCCTTTTGTATTTTTTAGTGCATGTGGCGCTAATGCTTTTTTTTCAGTGAAGCCTGTGGTACCTAAATATTTCGGTTCTCTGCACCCTTGCCGAATTAAGTTTTCCTCAGATGCTCCTAGTCAAATTCTAACAAATGCATTTCGAAATAACCAAGACATTTTTTTAAATTTTAATTTTAAGAGTTGTTAAAAATAAATAAAACATGTACCTGGGCAACTGAACCCAATATAGAAGCTATGTGAAGAAGCTTCAACAGACAGTAACTAGTCCACCAGGTCCACTAGATTTTGTGTCCTGTCTCATTAGATTCAAACTGGAAATAGATCTATGAAAACTGTAATATTTTTCTGAGAGCAAGCCGCTGGGCTCTCAGGCACCCTGGTGCACATTTTGCGAACCGCTGGCTACACAGACACATTTTTCAACAAAGTTAAAAATGACATAATAATTTATAAATAACAATAAATGGGAGGGGTGAGGGAGAAGCTCATTTTTATGTATGCAGAGAGAGGATTTTATCCCAAAAAATATGGGTGCAACGTGGGGGGGGGGGGTTCCCCCCTTCTTTTTAGTGGAAACAATTTATGGATAGAGAGTTTAATAGCTCACCAAGACAGTTTTATAGTTTACAATAAAGTTTAATCGTTTGCTTATAGAGTTTAATTGTTTCTCTTGAGAGAAAATTTTACTTTGTTGTGTGTACTGTGGTTGATTTAGAAAAAAATTATGACAGCTATGGAAGATAAGGTGGCGGTGATATAGATGTTAGGCTGCCCTAGATGTTAGTCTTTTCTACATATTGTGGTTTCCTAGATGTTGAGGGTTGCCTCATCAAAATGTTACTCTCTCCAATACTTGTATCTTCATGTTTAATCTGTTAGGATGATGCTGTCGGGAGTTTGATCCACCCTCTTTAATTTATATCCGCCATTGCCCATACTTGAATGTTGTGCCATAGCTAGCATGAGGATAGTGGGGTGTTTCAATGTCTCAATTTTCCTCTGCCGGCCATGTTTTCATCCCTTGCTTTGTTGTGTCCACAGTCTTTACTCCAAGGTGCTGCTGTTGATCTGCTGGGAGAATACTGCCAGGGCCCAGACAACACACTCAGACTCAATGCTATTTGGGCTATAATGGCAAGTTAATGACCATCTAGATAACATCATCACACTTGACGTAAAAATCATAAGTTGATAACAACTTAGTGCTGTCCTTTTAAAATTGATTACCGTTAATTATGTTCCAGCAAGTCATATTTACATAAAAGATTGATAGAGGTCTTTAAAAAAAAAATTTTTTAAACCACCCACATTTGCATCATCATCCGGCATCACCCCCTAAAGTGGCTTAGGCCATCAAAGATATATCTCCATGTTCTTGTTGCCACTGTCTCAATGCCTTACCAAGCCATCACTTGGTCTCTTATTCATATGAAATGTCTTCACAGTAATTAACCTACTGCTCGACGGAGAGCTTACGAACAAGGGTGATAGAGACGATGAGAAGTGATTGCTTCATCAAGAGGATTGAGGACCCTGTCATGATCATTAGGCAGAAAGCTTTGGCTGTTGTTAGAAATCTCTTGACCTCGGTGAGTGGAGCATTTAAGTTTTAAATTATTCAGCGCACACAGTCTATATAAAGGATGATAAGTGGACNTTATTCAGGGCACACAGTCAATATAAAGGATTTTAAGTGGTCAAGACGGGGGGAAGAGTAGGAAAACTCTGCGGAAGAAAGTGATGATGAAAAAATTGGGATTTTCAAATAAAACATGGCGGTGCTTTATTATTAAATTAAATGTATGTCTGCCCTCTTTCTCAAATTTGTTTTTTTCACTTACCAGGAATTCTGCCAGCATTTAGTGATTTGCTTGACTTTTGTTTTACATGGGGAACTCTTAGATAATATCTTAATGACTAAGATGAGCAGTAAGAAATCTAAGCACATTGAGAGTGACTATGGCAATGCATACAAAAATTGAATAGTCCCATCAAATGATTCACACACAGTTTCATTCAAACTTTAGTTAATGAACACACTTATGTTGTTTTAAAAAATGTGTCTACATAGTTATCCACCAGAAGTTTACTGCCATATGCAAATGAATATGTTATAATGTTTCCAATATAATGTTCCTGTTATAATGTTGTCAGTGATGATGTCCAATATTTTGTAGGTCCATGATGGTGAAGACAGAGACTCTGTGGCCACAAGGTCTCGAGGAGAACGTCGTCCAGGAGATAAAACAGTAAGCCAGAGTTGATATGAAATAAATACATTTTTTATTGGTTTTTTTATTCACTTTCAATATTTCTGTCCCTTTGGGGTATGTCCTATTTTGTTTTTAACTTGAATCTAGTATGTTGAGGAGGGCTCATTAAAGCAGACCCAATAGTAAAAATTTAAAAAAAAAATGTATACTTTTAATCTGAATAATTTCTTTCAATTCACGGTTTCATTATCCAATCCATATTTATTTAGCCAAACTATGACCACCAGAAATGACATGAAAGAAGATGTGATATGCACCAACCCATTGAGCTCTTTTCTCTCAGAAAATAAACAGTTATTTCCTCAGTGGCTGAACCCCTCTGAAAAAAATAACTTCATAATGAATATTAGGAGCAAAACTTTGGTTTCTTGTGATTAAATATAAAGCAACTGAATGTACAAAAGCACAGAAGTAGTAGTATTAAAAATGTATTTGTTCATTTATTTTCATCATCATTTGGATTCAGTAGCCATTTGGGCATGTCCCCTTCGGCCATGGTGAAGAATGTACACACTCTCCAACGCCGTTGTCTGTTTGTACATAGGGTGTTGGTGTGGTCCATTTCATTTGAGATATATATTACTATTGAATGAGCCGTTGTCTGTTTGTACATAGGGTGTTGGCATGGTCCATTTCAATTGAGATATATATTACTATTGAATGAGCCGTTGTCTGTGTGTACATAGGGTGTTGGCGTGGTCCATTTCAATTGAGATATATATTACTATTGAATGAGCCGTTGTCTGTTTGTACATAGGGTGTTGGCGTGGTCCATTTCAATTGAGATATATATTACTATTGAATGAGCCGTTGTCTGTTTGTACATAGGGTGTTGGTGTGGTCCATTTCATTTGAGATATATATTACTATTGAATGAGCCGTTGTCTGTGTGTACATAGGGTGTTGGCGTGGTCCATTTCAATTGAGATATATATTACTATTGAATGAGCAATAGATCACATGTGACTTCTTTACATTTGACTCAATTATATAAAGAAAAAATATAAATATTATTAAAAAATATTCACTTTATATAAAATAATTATACACACTGCCCGATATTTTCCTATTTTTCTTTTTTTTTTTTTTTTTTTTTTAGGATCATTGGTAGTTTAGATTTTTAAATTCAAAGTATATTTTTATTTTTAAATTATATTTCCATATTTTCTTGTTATTTATTTTTAATTTGTAAACTCAAAGTATATTTATATTTTTAAATTATATTTCCATATTTTCTTGTGATTTCATTTTGAGTGAGAGATTGGTGAACTCATTGTTGAATATATTGTCATTCTCTTTTGTAAGATCATTTATAGAATGGTGAAGGCTCTAGGCAGTGAAGTCATTGATGCTGTGTTCAGGACAGTGAAGAACCCAAATCTCCCAGTATATGTCCTAGAATAGGTGAGTTTTTAATGGTGCTGAGTTGGGGGAGAGGGGGGAGGGCATTCATTCTCTTTGATAAGCTACCAAAATTACTTAGATATTTTTTATTTTTGTGAGAAGAGTATGGGAGTTTGTTTACTGTTTTGTCTCACTTCAAGACTTACTATGAAACCATGCACCGCAACCTTTGTTCCCTTGCGGCAAACCGAGACCATTTCCACACCACATTCAAAACATGAGAGAAAAAAATTGATTTTCTGTTGTATACAACTTACAATAATTTTGAATATGCTTTCATTTTTATAGACGTGAAATAAACATAGAGTTATCAAGTCCTCTTTTTTTCAATTAAAGTATAATGTCCTTCATCAACCTTAAAATGCCATAATTTTTAAAAATGTTTGTTCATTGTAAAAAAATATAAGTATTTTTTCAACTTTCACAGATACACTAGTTCAGTGCTGTCCAACCTTTTTGACTCTGGGGGCCAATTTTTGTGTGTGTGAATCTGAGGGTCGCATATAAAATTATTATTTTTTCTCGTCTGACATTCTTGCAACGTGGCCCATCCAGCAAAGCTGGGACTCCAATAATAAAGTGTGTGTACAGGAGAGACCTACTTGTGCGAGTACCTCAGTGTCTGGGCTCTTGTCCTACCTTTTGACTTTGAGGATTTTCACAGGCTCATTGTGTAGAAAGTGGTTTAATTTCTTTCACATGCCGATTTTCAGACGCTCATCATGTGAAGTGGTTTAGTTTCCTTCCATGGCTTTGATAGACTGTCCATGTTTCACATGCATATAGTTGTAGCATTGGGAGAATGGCAGCCTTGTAAACCTTTATTTTGGTTTGGGTGCTGATGCCTCTTCTTTGTCCATACATTCTTAGGCATTTTTATGAATGTTGCCCAGGCTCTTGCAGTTTGAAAGGTTAAGCTTTTGGACAGTGTGCTGCCAAGGTAAGAGAAGCTGTTTACAACTTTAAGCCTTTCGCCATTGACTTGGATGTTGGGCTCAATGTAAGGTTTTCATGGAGGTGGTTGATACAGGACCTCAGTTTTCTTTGAGTTAATGGTAAAACCAAAGTTTGTGCAGGCATCTGAATCTGAGTAGTTTGCAACACTGCGTTGCATCTTGGCCTCTAATTCAGCACAAATGGCGCAGTCATCGGCATACAGAAAGTCCCTGATAAGGTCTGTCTGGACCTTTGATTTAGCGTTTGGTCTCCTGAGGTTAAATACTTTACCATCAGTTCTGTATCTGATGCTGAATCCAATTTCTCCCTTGCAGATAGCTTCAGACAGTTTGGCAGAAAACATGCTGAAAAGTGTTGGTGCCAGGATGCAACCTTGTTTAACAACATTAGACACAGGGAAGGGTGACATCTTTCTGTTTGAGAGATCTCATCTTGTTAGCTCTTGTCTTATTATTATTATTATCATAAAGCCTAGCTCACATATCTAGTTCATCTTTTACAGTCCAGTTGGTGTGCATGGACTTTTTTATGGTGACCAACTAGCTACACATCAAGAAACACCCCCCCCCCATCCCCTTTTTTTTATTAAAAAGGCCAGTCAAAGCAGCAGAAAGGAAACCTCCTTTTCAGACCTTTCCAAAATGATATGTTCTAATTTATTATTTTTGCATCTGACAACCTGAAATTAACATGCCCCTGTAGATATTTTATTACAAGTAATAGTTTTCAATATTTAAGTTTAACTGTGAGTAAACATAGAAACGAATGTAAAGAAACTATTTTTTTATAAAATGGCCTTTCACTATCTTGATATTTTTTTTCACACACCTGCTTGTATCTAGTTAAGATTGATAATTTTATAATTTATTTTTAAAAAATCTTTATTTATACAGAGTTAACACAAATTCTTACACAACTTAAAAGCCTTTTTGTACAAATTAAATCAGCGACCACAAACTTAACTTACTGACATTTGTGTGTAAATTTATCATATTTATTTCAATGTTAAAAGCAAAGTAAAAAAATAAAACAATAGTAACATTTAAACAAAAGTTATGTCCCACGATCAGCAGGAGTTTGAATATGTCAAATCAGATAAAAGATCTTCGGTACCATCAACCTGGACAGGATGAGGCTCATTTTGTTTTTATTTTTTTTTACCCAGAAAGCGTTAAGAACTTTTAAATAACCAGCTATTGAAATCTAGCCAAAAAATGAAACAGCACATGTGTCAAAGGCTAAAGCGACAAAGACATATTTTACTGGTTGTTTCGGACACTTTGAGATGATGTGTGCTGGTTGACTTCCACTGTTTAAATAGAAAATTCATGCCCTTGGAGGAATTTTGCCAGGGCGCAATTAGCAAAGTCCCGCTGCGCACCAGTTTGCGGAGCTCTACTGAAGACTACCTCTCTTTCAACTCAATGAAACGTGGACGTGTTTTTTAACCACTTGTATCCAATAAATGTTGTTCTCATCTCTTGTGTAGGCATTGTGTGCCCTGAGTAACATGGCTGATGGCCCATCATGTAAAGCTCACATGATTGGCAAGACAGAAGATCTGCAGTATGTCATCAAATACCTGGTAAGAATTGTTGCATCACATAAATTAACACAACAGAGACTTGAGTCTTTCTATGGCCACGCAGATTGGCAGCAAAGGGTTGATGTGAAAGTTAAGCACAATTCATCTTACATACCTTTGGATACTCAGTAGTGCTCCTCATATCATCAGATAACTAGCGCAGATCATGTTGAACGTTTATTCACAATTTAATGCAAATATGACTTTTAGTTGTGCAGCATCTAATTATTCCAATGTTTGATATCAACTCGAGTTTACATTATTTTATTAAAATAATCACCAATTTTTTTGTGATTTCATTTGCAATTCTCTATTTGGAATGACTTAATTGAGAAAGGTTGTTTTTATTAAACATCATACAGTATGTGCCAAAATTAAGAGAACCATACTCAAATTCCATCATCTTGAACATGTCCACTCATTGGCCAACGGAGCATAGATATAGTCTCCATGTGTTCCCAGAACTGAAAAGGAAGGTAAGTTGGGCAGTAGTTGTTGGAAACTGGTCTCTCAAATGAGGAAAAAATATTCATAGTTGAGTATGATCTTTGCTCATACATTAGTGATTAACGAGATGGGAAACCGTGAGCACGTTTGAAAAAATATGGCAGAAATTTTCTCAGAGAGATACAATAAGGCGAAACCAAGTAAAACAATAGTGCTTTTATTGTTACAAAATTGTGCAGTTCTGGTAGTATACTGTATAAATGGAAGGGGGTGTCTGGTCGACCAGTAGGTGTTTTGATAAATGAGAATCGATCAAGGCGCTGCATTTTTCCCCACGACAAACATCAGCGATACACCCAATAAAAAAAATTTCTGTAGACCTAAATGCATTTTCATATTGGATCCATGTTGGACAATGCTTGGCAGAGCGAGGTTTGCAAGCCAGGACGATGTATTGTGTAAAATGTGTGCCTAGGGTGTGTGAGGTTTCATATTTATATGGGAATATTTTGTTTTCCAACATAGTATACTGTATAAATGGAAGGGGGTGTCTGGTCGACCAGTAGGTGTTTTGATAAATGAGAATCGATCAAGGCGCTGCATTTTTCCCCACGACAAACATCAGCGATACACCCAATAAAAAAAATTTCTGTAGACCTAAATGCATTTTCATATTGGATCCATGTTGGACAATGCTTGGCAGAGCGAGGTTTGCAAGCCAGGACGATGTATTGTGTAAAATGTGTGCCTAGGGTGTGTGAGGTTTCATATTTATATGGGAATATTTTGTTTTCCAACGAAATTCACATATGCTTACTGGTCTATCAGACTTTCCCTTCTGTTGACAGAGACGTTGACAGTGTACATTACTGGTCTATCAGACTTTCCCTTCTGTTGACAGAGCCGTTGACAGTGTAAATTTCCAGAAAAGTGTTTCTTGATGCCATCTGTTTAAATCTCTCTCAGGGAATTGTTCGTCCACTTTTTTGAAACAACGTTCACATCTTTATGCATGGGGAAGGTAATACTCAACTAATAATAGCAAGAGACCCCTTTCCGACAACAAATGCCCAACATGTCTTCCTTTTCACTTCTAGGAGCACACTGCAGCTTTAGCTATGCACCATGGACAGACAGCATGTATGCGTTCGATGCGCAAGAGTTTCAGTACTGTTACTCTTACTTCTGGCACTTGCTGTGTAACTGCATTTTATTTTAGGATTCTGATGTCTACCCTGACCAACAGCGTGGCATCACTCTTCAGCTTCCTGTTGTCCAGTTCATCACAAATTTAGCAGAGTCGTCAGAAGATGGTAATACATTTGAATGGCTTGCTTTGTTTCAGTGGACTGTTGAACAAATCGAACTGAAATAGTTGTTTTTTTCCTAAAAATAACTATAATATATGTTCTTAAAATTGGCTTTGATGACTTGAGGGGTAAGCAGTAAATGAAGGCATGGAAATTTAGTTTAAAATTTATGTTCATACAAATGATAATACAAATACATTTTGGGTATTTATTGAAATTTTACTGGATAATGATAATACAAATACATTTTGGGTGTTTATTAAAATTTTACTGGATAATTTATATATCAGTATATTTATGTTATCTGCATTCAAATAATTCAATATGTGACAGATGTATTGGGGCAAAAATTTTACTTGACAGGTCAATAAATTTCTGCCCTGTGCTGTTCTTTTTTTTTTGTGTGCAAATATTGATAAGGGTTTATATTGTCACCTATATTTGGGCAAAGAGCTGGTCATTAGCTCTGATTAGAGTCTGCATGTTTTCCTCATGCAGGTGCCTACCAGCGCATGTTAGTCCTGAAGAATCTTGGCGTCCAGCGAATCTTGGAAGACTTATTGGCCAAATGTGAAAAATCAGATGCAAGGTTTGTACGATTCATTCAAATTATTGAAACGTTGGCAGTTTCCCTATTGTTATTCTGCAACATGTATAATATTGCCAATAACCCTAGGCTTCTACTGTGGCTAAGTAGCGGAGTGTTCTGAACTTGATGCTATTTGATAGTATCACCTTCAACAACTTTTTTTATTGATAGTTTAAATAAAACTCCTGCTCCACCGTTGTGCTATTTCCAAATGGTATAATAAAGGTGCAGTGACCCTGTTATGTTTTAATTTTTAATGAATATAATGAGTACGAAAAACTAAAGCAAACAAATTTTGATGTGAAACAAAAAAAGTTGAAATATTGTTTTAAAAAAAAAACTGACATACCAGGTAATTTAATTAAATTCACCAGGAATAAAATTCATTTACAGCTATATCTCTCTGCAGACATTTCATAAAAAATTAACATTTGATAATTCTGTATATTCCTCAGCATCAACAGCCCTCTACTGCACAGCATCAACAATGCTCTTAAACAGTTCTCCTGATGCAGCAAATTGTCAATCTCATTTTAACTGGATCTCTTTGCATTTGATGTGTAGAAAAGCTATTTATTGACATGTGCTAATTAAACAATATTTTAAATTATTTAGTTAGTTTACTCTTGTGAAGTGGGCCATGTGTAAATATGAGTGACAGGAGTAAATTGTTTGAAAATTTTTTTTTATTCAAACTTGGATACAGAATCAAACAAAAAATGTCAACAAAAATGAAATCCATAGGAACACGCAAGTTTTAAAATTGTAACTACTCATTGTAATAATAAAAAAAATAATTCCACAATCATTAGAACATGCCTAACTTGATTGAATCATGGTAATAAATAGATCTGAGTCAAATATAGGGGTGCAAAATAAAAAACAAAACAACATCCAGTAAATAAAAAGTGTGTATAAAAAAATTCAAAAAACTTTATCAGCAACATTATCATTGAAAGTTAAATATAATCCTTACAAAAATCTCCATGTCTCAAGCAGTAGTATACAATACAAGCATAACATTAATAAGTTTATTTGATCATTCCATTTTTTAATATTATCTTAAATGTTAAAATGATGAATGGAAATGGAAGGCCTAGAAATAAGAAGTACATCAATTTTAATAATTAGATTAGCTTGAAATTATATGTGAGTTTTCTTTTAGAAACCTCCAAATATTTTAAATTGAATGGCATGATGGTTGTGGTTGTAATAATTAATAAAAACAAAAACAGGAATCAAAAATAGCTGAATTTAATTATTCCTGATTTTATTCCTGATTTTGACTTATCTTATATTAGAGACTAATCTCTTAAAATATTTTGAAAAATATATTAAAGTGTATCTTTGGTATCCACATTTATCACAAAATGTCAGATCAATGTAGTGTATTTTAATTACAAAATGAAGAGGTTAATGTTTTATTTGTCATGTTTTTAATATGGTACCGGTATCTTATAGTATTGTGCTTTTAAACAAAATTTTACTACCCTGATTGCACTCTATCCTTTTAACTTGTAAAAAGATAGATGTTACTGATATCAATAAATACTTAATTATAACATTTTATTCATTATATTAATGCACAGGCAAATCCTTATGTTACAGGAGTGTTAAACAAGCACAAATTCTTTTTGAAGGTTTAAAACTAATAATTTTTTTTAGCTAATTTTAGATTCTAATCGTTTTCAGATGAACACACATCAACATTTCTGATATACAATATATTTTTTAAAATGGTCACCATTTAATTTTGACTTATGTTTAAACCAGTATTATTATTAAAGCTGTTTTAATATTTGACTTGGAGCAATTAGTAAGAAGTAAAAGTAATTTTTGACATCTTAATAATTACTTTTCAGAATATCCCACTAATTACCAGCCCTATTATATCTCTTAACTAGTTTGGCTAAAAAAGCATTCAGTTCTAGTTGCAACAGGACAATGTTTATGTTGACTCATAGTCTTAATGTTGTACAAAATGTATCATTTTGAAAAACTAAATGCCGGGCCTATTGCATAACAAGTAGAGAGGTGCTTTCAAGATTAAGCTGCAAAAGAAACAACAAAAAAGCAACACAATTCTACATTAAAAAAAAAAAAAACCCACCACATAAATATTAACTGTATATCAATAGTATCTGAAACATAATCATACTATTATAGTTCCTTTACCTCATTGTATTTAGTAGCAGATGCAACTGACTCTGTGAGGTGATTTATGTCTCAAAGAGTAACATGGATGTTTTATAAAAGCTGCCTGTAGAATTGTTAGATTAAAGCTAATGACTTGGGTAGTTGTACACATAAGGTGTGATTGTGGAAAGAGTATGAGTGCAGCTCAAAAGTTATTAAACTCTCTGAAAATGTAAAGCCAAAAAAAAAAAAAAAAATTGACTGATTACAAGAGATAAGTGTTTTTCCCCCTGAATTTTATGCAGATTTTAATATAATACAATATAAACAAAAATCAATTTTAAGTCAGTCAAAAGCTAGTGTGGGTTCGCTTTAATGCGAGGACCACTGTGATAAAACGAGTAAATAAATGCAAATCATACCTTCAAAAAGACTTAAATAATAAAACGCCTTGAATACAAGATTAAAAATCTTTTCTTCTTTTTTTTAAAATGACCAGAGAGATGTATATAAACATTAATAATTTATTGTAATGGTGCAGTCATTCAATGTAACCCAGGTCAACATCCAGTTTTCCTGTATACTTCTCAGTCTCATGTTAAATAATGAAAGACTGATGTAGCCATGGAGGGACATTGATTTTCATATCACAGTTGAGATTCATATTGATTAATGAAGGGAATGTTTACTCGTACACTTTTAGTTTAGAACTTAGGGAAGCAATCATGTAAAAAGAGTTGTTGCACTGAGGACAGGGGAGCTTGACAAGAACAAAACTTCCTTTTGGGTGTGAGAAACTGGGTGTAATAAAAAACAGGACCTTATACCACAACCTTGTATTGTAATAATATTATGTAACATTTATTTATAAAAAATCATACTTTATAAGCCAGTGTTCCTATTGGGAGACCAAATTACTTGTCACTTCTTTTTAATGCTGTATATAAATTTATTCATTATATTTGGGTGAATCTAAACCCACAAGATGTTGTTAATTGCAAAAAACATTTGTTGCAATGGCTATGATAAATGCACTATTTGTTTTACCAACTGTTAAAACACTTCACACAATAGGTTATATATGAATATCGTGGTTTAAAAAAAAAAAATTATTGAGCAATATTTTTTAAAAAATCTGATGGAAACTCTGCTCAAATTTTCATAAATTTATTTACCCGTACCAGTTCTAATCTAAAACTGATAAAATCAACCTTTAAATAAAGTTCACTGACAGCAAAAAAAATGTCGATGTACATTCTTAAAAATATGTAAAACATGCTACTTAGGAATGTATAAAAAATGTAATATCTTTTCAATCTGTAAACAGAATAAATACAATTTACAAAGTCTTTGAAAATACTTCAATCACCAAAACTACATCTGCCACCAAAAAGAAATGGTTTTAAATGTTGAGCAATCAACCCAAACAGCAATTAACAAAAAAGGCACATTAAAAATAAACATGTCTGCCTTCGTGGGCATTATTTAAACTACAATTTAGATTTGACCAACGACATCCTCTTTGATTTGGTTAGTGACCGGCACAGATCAAAGGCTTGCTTCGGTGGGCTGGACATGGACAACATAACCAATTTACAGACTTTTGCCATGTGGTCAATGACATGGAAAGGAACAAACTTGTTGACGGGCATGTACACAACATGATCTATTAAATACCTGGCATTGAGGGGATAACGATCTTCAGGGGGAACAACCTCGCCGACAATATTTGGCTGAGAGGGCAGGTCAACCTGATCTGGTTCTATGACATTGAGTTGGGTGGCCCCTCTGTATGCATCTACACCTAAAGCTCCAAGACATCTCACGAACAACTCAGGATTTTCCTTTGGAAAATAAGTTACATTTAGAAAAGGCGAGATACTAGTTACTAGTTGATCTTAATACTTCCTTAAGTTTACAAAAACTATATGATAGTGTTATAAAAAAAATTAAAAAAACATTTAACAGAGATAGAAACATTCATACACATGAAAATTGGATTAAAAGACTCACCACAACGACAGGAAATAACCAGAAATTGTTTATCTTGGTTTTGGTGCCGATTACTTTTAAAGAAGTGGTCAAGTTTGACTGAAAGTAGCTGCACTTAATGCGCTGCAGATCAAAGCTGGCTGGGTTAAATGATGTCTGAACACCGGCCATAACAGAAAGGAGGGCAGAACTAGGCCTGTACCTGATGTTATTTATAAGGTCATTTGGGAAACCTCTAAGGAAGCTGACAAAAGTGGCTTTCCAATCCATACCCATCTCTCTTGATTTCTGCATCAGTTGAGGGAATGGCCAGACTTGCAATGTTGTATACAAGGGGAAATACTTCAATAATTTCTTTAAATATGTTGCATTGCTTTGAATAGGGTATTTTAAGTAAAGTTCATGCATTTGACGATAGAGCTCTTCCTCTCTAACCTTGATGATGTTGCCACCAAAAGAGGTGGAGAACTTGATAACACCAAAGCTGAATAAGGCGAGATCTGAATCAGGATGACCAATGTGCACAAACCCAGAAAAACTTTCAGCACAATCCTCAATGATGTCAAGGTTGTAATATCTGGCTACACTTATGAAAGGATCCATGTTGACCTGTCGACCATACAGGTGGGCTACCAGTATGGCAACAGTGTTTCGGTTAATGAGCCGCTTCAAGAGAGGCAATTTGGGTTCTAGTGTATCAATGTTGATGTCTAAAGGTACAACAGTCAATTGATGATGTCTAATGATGCTCGCCATGTCCTGGATTTTAACAAAAAAACGAAACAAAATCAATTTTTACCAAACTAACTTACCCGAACAAGTTAGTACTTCGTTATCAACTCTTAATTTATATAGTTTTTAAAGAAAAGCTCAATAAATCTACAGGTTTGATGTTGATATACCGGTAAAATGAATAAAAAGTGGATCATTTAAAAACTGTTTACCGGTATTATTATTAAAATGGAAAAAGAAACCTGGAAGCTCTAAAGGATTTTTAAATACTGGTGAGGAATTTTGGGGTGGATAAATAAAAATGCCGCTGTAAGATAATAAAATATGGCAGTCAGCAACAAATTACTATGTTAAATTTGAACAATTAATGATAATTCATACTGATTTTGGCAGCAAGCAATAGGTTTTGTGGCACCAGTACTACAATTTCTTACATTTTAGTAAATGCAGGTGTTGGTAAACCATGTAACTGTCAACAATCCTTTTGATTACTCTTTTATGATATCTATATACATAATTCGCACGCCAGAGTGTGGTTCAATAATGAGTTCACTAGCGTGAAAAATATAATTCTCAATAACTACGCTAAATAATATATATATATTATATATATATACATTTAATAACGCAATTGGGTTTGGTGCGTAATATTTTCTTTTCGGAATTGTCTCAATTTAAGTATTGTGTAAAAAATATTCGGTTTAAAAGTGGTTAGAATGTGAGAATATATTTAGTTCATGGGTGTGAAATAAAAAGTGTGCAGTGACGTATCATGGGGGAAGGGGTGTAGCAAATATTGGGATTCTTAAATGTGCGTTACTTGAGTTCATGTTTTGTCAAGTAACTTTACTACATGGTAAGTTCATGAATTGCTGTCGCCAATGTTTGGCGGGCTTCTTCTAGTTATTCTTTATTTGAGCATTTCTTCTCTACCTTTTACAACAATATACTTACAGGAATATTAACAGCAGACATAATGACTTCTGATCCTGGTGGAAAATTTTTCACCCGCAAATACAAGTCCAAGCCTGTCCGAACACAAAGACATGGGATGACTGGGTTTGGATTGGATGGTGTGTTCCACAATTGCTTAAGCGTGTTCTCATAATCCTCCCTGGCTTTGCTGCTATGATAAATAAGACACTGGCGTGTTGCAAAACACAGCTGAGAGTAAGAGCTATCTGGAGAAAAATAATCAAGAAAAATATTTTTTTCAGTGCTGTGACAGTAACTTGTACTATAAGATAAGATATCAATCCAGTAATCTAATAATTCACCTCTCTCTACTCTTTTTTGTGTGTGTTGTATTCCTACAATAACACTTATCATGTGTAATACTACAGGACCTGGTAAAAAAATGGGGAGCAAAACTAAATATTTAATTATTAATATTTAAGTGTCACAAAATCTTAAATTAAAATTGTATTTTTGTGAATGTTAATTATAGGAATCTTGCATTTGAACCTACCAATGATGATTGCAGAGTAAGGCTGGCTCGGAAAGCTCATTTTACTGTTACTACCCAGCTCTATGCACAGACTAGAGTTAATGCCTTTTTTTATAAACTAACTCAGCATGCAGGAAGCTAAGATAAATAAAGAGACATAAAATAATAAAACAGTGCAAATGGACTTTCATTCATGAATTCTAAAATAATTTCCATCAATTTATTTATAAACCATTAAAATGCACAAGACAATTAAATTAAGTCAAGACAACGTATACCAATGTTTCCTAACGTGTGCCTTACGCCCCAAATGGAAGCAGTTTGAAGGTTATGGTAGGGAACAAATGGAAATGGCCTCAGACATTCATCTTAACTGAATATCCTGTTTTTTCAAGTACTCGCCTCGGCAAACACTATTATTACTACCGAAGCAAATCCGTACATTCATTTGAAAATTAAACTTTGAAAGATATTCACTACATTTGCATTCCTAAATTTGGGTGGCTGGATTTCTATGCAGGGTAAACTGAGTCAATTTCAAACTTGTGGATTGGAGCTCAATCCCCACCAAAACCCAGAAAGAAAGAAAAAAACATCAGCTACTTAACAATAACTTTTTATCCATAAGATATGGGGTATAACATTAGCTGGGCACATATTCTAAAATGTTTACATCCTTCCCAAATGGATAATTTCATAAATCACAACTTTTAAATATAAATAGCTTGATTAAAGCCAGATTTTTGTCAAATTTTGATCTAAGTATTATTTATTAGAGATAATGATGTAATTAATTGTATTAATTAGTAATACAGATTCCTGCATTTAAATTAACAAAGAAAAGTCAGTCATCCAACTTAACAAATTTATTGAGTTTACAATCTTCTAACATTTTTTTACCATACTGTAATGTGGATAAATAGAAGCTTTTTTACTTTATGCACTATGTGGACATAAAGTGTTGTACATGCAGGTTAAAAAATTCATTACCAGTAAACGATATCGGAATGGTATCTGTGCGTAACAATAACACTTGTTATTTTAGTAGTGCTCTTTTGAAGAGATTTAGCATAACTGTATTAGAATGACCACACTTCGTCTTAAATATTATAACAATTTAAAGGATTTTGAAATTTAAAAATAAATTTCTTCATGAATAATGTACACAGATGGTACCCGGGTGCGAATCACGGCGCTGTGTGTCTGGGTCCATTTGGACTCGGATGTCATTTGTGGTAGTTTATTTTAGTTGAACTGAAGAATTCAGTTTACAAACATATAGTCCATTCAAGTATCTTCCATTTGATACCTCATTTTGTCTTACAAACCCAACAATAAAATTTTAAATAGTTTTTTAATCCCAACCTCTCCCTTCTGGTACTCGGGTATGAATAGCCACTCCGATATATTATAGTATCTTAAAGTGTGGCAAAGGGGGTAGGTAAGGGTAACCAAGATGGCGGCCATAGAAAAAAACGTGGGCCGCTAAGTCTGAATTTACCCATTTTGTTATGGAGGGATAGTAATTTGGGCCAGGTGCACAATTTTTTTTTTATGTACATTGTGCCATCATGGCCAAGGTTTAGGGGGCATAAAATATCTTGGCAAAAATATCTTGGCACCAAAGGGCCGTCATACTATTTTAGGCAAATTTTAACCCCACTCCCGTCACAATTCTCAGAACCCCACTCCCCCCAACGTAAGTCACACTTTCAAATTAACAAAAACTGTTTAAAAAATTGAATAATTAAAATTACTATACACAACTAATACTAAATAGTAAATGACATCTTCTGTCAAAATACATCCATCACAACAGAAAAAAAAATAGGGCCTACTAAAGTTAAAGTTTACCCCAAAAAATTACTGAATAGTAACCAAACTTTCATTTCAATCAAACTCTTATACTTAAAGCCTTAGTTAAACTAAGATCAAATACGGGTACCCGAAAAATTCGTTTCAAACTAATTTTTTAACATTTGTTTACCTGTTATTTTTTAGGTCTTGCAGACATGGAAAGGAGGACAGAGGAACGGCTTGCATTGATACGGGGTCAAACTTTTACCGAGAGATATTATCAATCCCGGACGGACCGTTTTTTTTTCGGACTTTTCGTTTTAATTAATTATTAAAACTATAAACTTTAGATTGAAGAATATTGCGGTTACATTTTTTTAAATCGTATACATAGAATTAAAAAAACACATAACTGTTAGGGCTGTTTATATACTTCGTTTCGGTAAGTAAATGTAGGTCAATGATGTAACTATTAGGTCAAGTAGAACAAATGGCTAGTTACCGAAAACCATTTTTAAAATCCAGATAGGGATTTAAAATTATTTTTTAACAAGATTATTACCCCAAAGTAGCAGGGCTTTGGAAAATTAGGAAAAATTAATGAAAATATGGGAATAATGTTTTTTCTATAATTTTTAAGTATTTAATTTCTTATATCAATTATTATTAGACAGTGCCAAGTTTTACACAGCTTGGTGACCTTCACTGACACTCACTTTTAAAATAGCAAGTGCTTACTATTTTTTTAAGTCTTGGCCTTAGTCTTAGCCTTAGCTTTGGGGGAAAAAACATTATTTAGCTTACGATCTAGGCGTTTATAGAAAAATATGTATGCCTTTATAAGAGCTGCGCAGGATTAGTCACATCAGGCCCTTCCTAAAAATTGAGGCTGATGTCTGCATTTGTGCTATCAAGCATGGACTATTGCAATGCGCTCATGGTGGGTCTTCCAGCTACACTCCTGGACAAAATTCAAATAGCGCAGAATAATGCGGCTCGCATTGTTCTCCGCAAACGCAAGTTCGACCATGCAAAAACACTTCTGAGAGAGTTGCACTGGCTGCCGGTGCGTGCTCGCATAGAGCACAAAATCGCAACTTTGTGCTACCGCTGCTTACATGACCTGGCGCCGTCCTATCTGAAAGAGCTGCTGACGCCTTATGTACAGTAGCTACAAGCAGACGACTCACCATGTTTGGGTCACTCGTGTTTAAGTTTTTTTTAAGTTGGTACAGTAGCTACAAGCAGACGACTCACCATGTTTGGATCACTCGTGTTTAAGTTGTTACAGTAGCTACAAGCAGACGACTCACCATGGTTGGATCACTAGTGTTTAAGTTGGTACAGCAGCTACAAGCAGACGACTCACCATAGTTGGGTCACTCGTGTTTAAGTTTTTTTTAAGTTGGTACAGTAGCTACAAGCAGACGACTCACCATGTTTGGATCACTCGTGTTTAAGTTGTTACAGTAGCTACAAGCAGACGACTCACCATGGTTGGATCACTAGTGTTTAAGTTGGTACAGTAACTACAAGCAGATGACTCACCATAGTTGGGCCGCTTTATGTCCCAAACACTTTTAAACCGAATATTTTTTTTACACCATACTTAAATTGAGACGACTTCATTTATCGAAAAATATAACGCACCAAACGAAGTTGCGTTATTAAAAAAATATAAATGATTTAGCGTAGTTATCGGGAATTATATTTTGCGCGCTCTTGAACTCATCTATATATAGCCTGCGTGGTGGTGGTGGTGTTTGACCTTTGCTGGCGAATTATATATAAGAAAAAAAGCGAATGAAGAATAAAGGAAAACCAGATAGTAAAAAAAAACCAAACGAATGAACCATAACAACGGACGTGTCGGCAAGATGTCTTCATCAAAAAGAACAAACAACAGTTCAAACAGAATTAAATAAAAAATAACACTTAACCCTAACGAAGTGTCCGAGAGGATGACAAGGTTTCCCAATACTTTGTTTCGCTCATTTCATTTTTTCTATCCTGAATGCCGTCTTGCCGGTGATCCTAATGCATCAGGGTGCGTGTAGTTCTTAGATGGACAAACCATAATATTCTATCATCTTTTTACGGCAAAGTCTGCGTGGAGCACCTCCAATAAATCCTGATGGTAGTGTATATAGTATGGTGTTTTCGATGCGTATTGAGGGCCGCATATTGCGGAGGTAATTAAAGGAGCTATTGTATTATAACTTTTTAGTTTGCTTTTAATTAAGAATCTCCTTTCCTTGTTCGACAGGTTTTTTATGATTGTCTTGTGTGATGTTTTTTATAAAAAATTGTTTAATTTCTTTTATTATGGATTTTTGGAATAATTAACAGGTCGTATGATAATTTAATAGGTTTAATTGTCTTGCTGTGTTTCATTGGTTAAATAAATCAATTGTAGTGTGTATATGTAATAGCGTTTTGGTTGTGTTTAATAAGTTAAATAAATCAATTGTAGTGTGCATTTTTTAATTAATTGTCTTGTATTTTATTTTTATTCTTCTTCTTGTATAGCTTGATGGCCCCACGATCAATGTAGCGATCATTCTGGCTCCGAAATTAACGGTCTTGTAGTGTGCTGATTTGATGGGTATTCTTGTTGGGTTATATTTTTTTAAATTTAAGTTTAATGAGTGGTTCTCAATTTTGGGTTATAGGTCACTAGTCATAAGGTGTGTATTTTGTTGTTGTTGTTGGAAATACTTGTCTTGTAGTGTGATGTTTTTTTTAAAATAATTTCTTTTAAGTTGATTGAAAGGTTCTCAATCTTTCGTTAAGTGTCAGTATTCATAAGGGATGTTTTTTAAATAATATTTTTAATTAATTGTCTTGTAGTATGACAATTTAATATGAATTTTTAATGAGTGGTCTTGTTGGATTACAACAGAGCCAAAGAAGGGCGGAAGAAGGGACCTTTGTTTTTATTTAATAAATTTATTTCAATTATTTTTAAAGTTTTTTTTTAATTATGTTTGTTAAATTGCATGTACAGCGTGGTGAGCCCAAGCCTTTAAGCTGGGGTACCACGCTGTATAAAACTACTTATAATAATGATAATTTCAGAATATTTTGAACAATTCATTAATTTGTTATTTTTTTTAATAAGACGAAAACATCCGAAAAATGGAAAGCTTATGAGCAATCGATGGGAGACAACTTAATTCATTGAGACCGAATCCAATCGATTAGCAACAGTGTGGCTAAAATTAGACGACACATTGACATCTCAGTTTCAACAACTCATCCTCCAAAAGAAAAATATTCTGGTTGGTTCATTGAGATGGAGACGGCAAAGGCCAGTCCTTTTGCTATTCTTTATTCCATTCTT